TTTGGTGATCCGACGCCTTCCTGACTCCCTTTTCTGACATTGCGAAACCGGGCTCTGCTTTCTTGTCTGAGTCTGTGTTTTTGGCCACGCCACTGTTGCTGCTGCAGCAAACTCAGTTGTGGTAACTTCGGCTTCGGAGCTGCGTGGCGTCTCTAGCAAGTTTGGGTTTTGCTGACAGGTTCTCGAGATGTTTGCTTTTCTCACACCCTTGCGCATAAGCGATGTTCAGTTCTACCCACCGGACCTGATCATTCCAATCCCCTGCACCGTTGCTCTGCTCTGGGAGCAGTGACAACAACAGAGCTGCACGGTGAATGTCACTGCATCACATCTGATTCATGGAATCATTCACAATGTTGATATCTCTTTCAGCGCAGTGCACATTTGCGTATATAAAGTGCTCTGATTGTGATGTTACAATTTTTTAGGGTTCTGTCACCATTTTGTTTTGCTTTGTTTTGTTTTTCTTCTTTATTTTCCTTCTTAATCATTTGTAGAACAAGTAGAAATAAATTATATAGCTGAAAAGAAACTGCAACATATATAATAAGCACCAATGATGTTTCTGTAATCGAGGATTGTGATGGATTGTGTGAAAGATGTTGGTTTTAGTCAAGGGTGGTAAATATTATTTGAGAATATAGTGTTCCAACTATCTTGAGATCTATTTTGGAGCTAAAGTAAAACATATTATTTTTGCCTCATATTGAATCAAAGGATTTGATGAGGTTTATTTTGGTGTATAGATTTTGTTTGATTTTGACATTTAACCACACTTTTTTGGTGTGATCAATCATGTCATTCAATATAAAACAACACATCTTTTGTCTTAAAGATTAAGTTGTTTTGTTTTTGACATGTCATCTATAAAACTATTTGTTGCATAACTCTTGACGTTGTTGGGGATTCCCAAAATCTTTGCAATGTATTATTATAAAAATAACAATATTAAAACTTAAAACAATCTATAAGGAGTCTTGCATTGTGTGGCAAAACTTATTAATTACTTTTAGTCCATAGTGTTATAAATGTTGTACAAGATTGTGTCCTTAAAAATAATATATCATTAATTGTATGTATTAATGGATACTAAGACATAAAAAAGTACATGTCAACCATTGCATTAAATTTTCTTTTCCAAGAATTTATCATATTTTATAATGTTAAATAGACCAAATATAGTTGAGTTCTTTAGATGTCATAACTTTGGCCTATTATTCATTGTATTTAAAATTAAATAGCAAATAAGTTTTTAAAAGCCATTTAGGCATCAAACATGTGTCTATTGTGGCATTATATGCTAACAAATATATTTAAGGTTAAGTAGAATAATATACCAAATCTTTAAAAATAGATATGTTATCTTTGCTATTAATTTATTTTATTTTATGTTAAATGTACATTTTGATTCTAAAGATCTTTAAAACCTTGTATATTATAACAAACAAAGTAGGATCCTATAATATACAGATAAGTTAAAGATATATTTTTAAAATATTGGTTGTATTGTTAGATAAGTTGGATACTTTTATTAAATAAGGTTGGTTTTTATTATTATTCATTTATTTATCATTATTTATTTTTAAATTTTAAGAAAACCAAAATCTTATAAATTTAGTGTATAAAATGTTAATAACACTAATTTACAATTTATTGAAATTTTAATAGAATAATTAAAAATATTTTTTAAAAAAATAACAAAAAAAACATACTATACACATTCTTTATTATTATTATTATTAATTATCTTTCAGAAACAATTTCTTAAAGTAAAATGAGATTTTTATGTATTTTTATGTATTATAGCATATTTCTTGATCAATAATTCAGTATCTTAAAATGATAAAAATTTTAATTTTTTAATTTTTAAGTTTTTTTAATCTAAACTTTTGAAGATATGTCTCACTTAATATTTGAAATATAAAAAATAATGTAGAATTAACTTTATTAGAAATGGAATGACTACCAACTTCTATTAAAATAAATTATATAAATATATTTTAGCATGGTATTACCTTGATTAATTTTATTTATTTTTTACTATAGAGATATTATTAAAATTTCTATATTTAGTTACTTGGTCTAAAATATCACCAATTTCTTTATTATTATTTTTAAATTTTATACTTGGTATACCAAAACTTATTTTAATAAAAAAATTTAAGCCTTATAAATAAATAAAAAAAAATCAAAATTAATTTATAATTTGCTTCAATAAAGTTTGGGTTTTAATTTATACATTAAGGTACTAATGAAGTATTATTAATAAGTGAATTATTAAATTTGGTTAAAATAAAATTAGAGATGAACCTTATTTACAAGATAATCTTATCTCAAAGTATATTTTATACAAAATACCATAACAAGGTTGATAATTAATATGTGTCTATAAATATATATATATATATATATATACAAAGAAAATGATAAAGCAACCCAATTTTATACTAAATTAACCTACATGCTTAAACCATCATTGTACTCTTTTAACCCCGTCTCTATTCCTAGCCATTCTCTTGTTCCTAATTGTTGCCCTCATTCTTGATGTTTCCAATCCCCTACACTTGTCCTTAACAACAGTTGAGAACAAGGATCGATTAGGAACAAGCATGGGGGCTACAAGGGTGCAATGATGGTTGCTTTAATATAAATTTAGGTTGCTTTATCATTTTTCTACAAATATATATATATATATATATATATATATATTTATTGTAGTTAAATATCTTTATAAATTTTTACTTAGTTTATGCTTATACTACCTTGTAGATTTCTTCTTATATTATAATTTCTTTTATATGTGTGAATATTTTTTCTTCTATCTAAACATTACCATTATAAAACCATGGTACAAATTTATGCCTTACTAGTAAATTTATTTTGAATTTATATAACTTGCATTATTATTCCATATCATATTTCTATGTTCTTTGGCATTAAGACTAATGTAGATATGTAAAGCAATAAAACTTATTAACTAATTATATCTACATTTTAAAATATCTATTTATTATGCTCTTTGAGCTTAATGTATTTAAGTATTTAAAAAAACCACTAAAATTTAATTCATATGAGAATCTTTAAGCTATTAAGATGCTTATGGTTACAATAATTTATTTGATTTAAAAAAGTAATTGTGCTAAACTTATATTTTAAAGTATAATTATTTTGTTTTATTTTTTATTCTATTTTGGATTTTTTTAAATTATAGACATTCTTTTTATGACATTGATTCTTATAAAGATGTTGCAATATTTGATTTGGAGTAATATATCATTAAGGTGCCTACCTTCAAAGATAGTAAGGGTGGATAGGACTTTAAGCTTGTTGATATTCTTTTACATTATATTATTATCAAGAAATAAATTAAACCTAAATTAATTTAATATTAGTTATTTAATACATAATATTTTTATTGAAAAATAAATAAAAATATTTAATTTGTGTTACCAATATAATTTTCAAAGGTTTGCCTAGTCCATGAGCTCAAATTTCAATTTTGGTGTCATAGCCAACTTGCTAGCACATATGAACACAAATTCAAATAATAGATCATTTGTCTATGTTAGATTTTAGGCACTAATACACCTATTTGTTATAAAGGGTTTTGGTAATTTAAGTAATGTTCTTTGGCCTCAATATAATTTACAATGACATCTAACACAACGATATACAAAACAATCTAGCTTAAATTAGATTAAACCACATACGTGTGCACAAAATTGTGGACATCAATGTGATTTTGTAAGAACTCATCAAACCAACCACTCCCTGGTTTGCAAATAAACCTCAATAGAAATGGGGTTGAAAAGAAAGCATGTTCTGAACAAAACTGAAGTTTGTATCAATTGGTCTGAATGCGGAGAAATGAAAGCTTTTGAAACGGCACATTTCACGGCACCATGTTTGTTTGCAGGTAGAAACACTGATGGTGTTGTGGGTTTTGACTGCAACAGTGACCGTCATAAAGTGAGGCAGCAGTATCAGAGAGCTGAAGAATGCACAAGAGTGGGTACGAGACTATCACGACTATGGTGGGAGAAGATCACCATTGACTGGAACTGGAGTTAAGTCACAACACTTGCGTCGTCCTTCACTCCTCAGTTTACACTGATTGTTGCAAATCTTAATGGCAGAGTTGGAGAGTTAATGCAGCATACGATGCCATCTTCACTTGTACCCAATTGGGCAGAGATCTGATGCCACGAGATGGCAATAGTATGGGATTGGAAACAGGGCCTTGTGCCTCCAGCTGCACTCTCTTTTCTCACTTGGAACAGTGGAACCCTCGGCCAACACAGAAAAACACACTATAAATTTACAAAAAACTGACATTTGATTACTAAGGAACAAAAGAAACTATAACTGCGATGTGTTGACTTGTGTTAAGTAATGGCCGAAAAAAAGAAGAAGAGATATTGCGATTTGATCACATGCAGTGTCTCGAATAGCAACTTTGCAGAGTCTTATTTCATCTCTTCCTCGTCTGGTGCTGGACTTTTGTTTTTTTCTTCGGGACCTGCACCAGCAAATAAAAAGCAACTGACATTTTGTCTGTCTGCTGGGACAGACCTTTTGGAGATGTCGTAAATGAACAGTTTGGTGATTACGTGTCCATTTAAAGAAGTTATGTTGTAGTTGTTTTTGCGTGGAATCGTTTTTCCTCGCCGATTGGATCTTCCCAAAGATTGCAATGCGCTGAGATATGTGAATGCTTGGAAATTGTATCAAGAAGGCGGTGATTTCTTGATTCAATCTCCACTCCAAAGTTTTCCTGCAAGACAACCGGCCCAAACGCTTTTTCACTTCTAGTAACTCACATCACCTCGCTAATTCAAAATATGCTGAACCGGTTGCAACTCCTGGCTCTTTCTTTGCTTTGCAGACAGAAACTCTCTTAGATTTCTATAGCTTTTGGACACCCGAGATCGTAAATATCGCAACCATGTCCTGTTACTATGCCAATGAATTCCATCTTCGCAGCAAGTTCATATGTAATTCTGCTTACTCCTTGAACGTTTCCGTGCTTTATGAGAATTCTGAGGATTGTGGGTTGATGTCTTGGTTTGTCGAGAGGAGGTTAGAGGTTGAGAGGTCGAAGGGTCCTTCCTTGTAACTGTGTGCTGGATCAAGTGAGAGCTTCCGGCGATTTGTTCAAATGCTAGGGGGCGTGTTAAATGGATCGGTTGTGAGGCGGTAGTTTTTGGCACGGAATGCGCCCTGATCGGAGTTGGAAAGTTTGAGAAGTCGCTGGGCAGCATGGGTTTTCTCGTCCTAGAGATAGAAGTCGGTGGAGGGTGTTTTGTCAATCGTGTATTTCGGTTGATGGTGGGTTCACATGAACGGACCCCGCACTCGAAAGCAAGATACTCGTGATGAGGTTCCTTTGGGGAGGAAGAGAGACGCTTGCCACAACTTGATCACGATTGTTTTCGACCCGTGCTCCTGATCTTGGGGTGGGAGTGATCACAACCGAGCAAGTTGCTCAAGACCACCGTGGGAAGCACCTGTCAAATTTAAGAAAAATCTGATGAGGCTAAAATAGTTAGAATTTATCCCAACTTTTATAGTATCCTATTTGTAGATGTAGACTGCACTGCTGCAAGGGCATTCAGTCGGCATCGATTCTTCATCGAATTTCGATCATAGCACACACCAGGAGGTTGACCTTCCTTGAGGCTGCGATACAATTATGTCCGTGGCTCTAATCTAGTTCCTCATCTCTACTGGCAAGTTTGCGTTCCGACCGTTGTGGTGCTTTCGACTCTTTGGGTACCTCTCCTCAGTCATCATTTTAGTCAAAAAGTGCCTCCAGGTGTGGAAGATACAGTAACTAGACAGATTTGGCTTATAGCAAGGGCCCTCAAGGGCTACACTTGGGAAGAGGATGTCTTGGACCGCAAATCCTTGAGCATCTGTGTCCTTCCAGGTGTACTTTGTGCATTTTTCGTTACCATTCAAGTGGTTCCACGATCTAGCGGAGCTAAATTTAGATCGAGTTCATGCATCGAGTTCTTTTACAAAATTTCAGTCTGTCCATCTGTTTTTGGTTCTATTTTTCTAATGAAATATTTGAGCTCTATAATTGGTTCTGGTAACTAGATACGAGAGTTAACTTCCTCCAGGCCACCATTGCCCGCAGGAACCTCTATATACATTTTGGAAAATGTATGAGCGTTTGATTAATTTTTTGGGGATCCAGAGATGGAGGGTCCTCTTCGCCGCCTTGCTTGGTCAATGTGGAGCTCTGAACAAACTTTCTGTCCATTCAGTCGGAATTTTTCGATCAGTACTTCAGTATTCTTGCAAGAGAACAAATGCTGCTTGTTTTAGACTGATCCTTCTCCTGGAAACGCGCTTTTGTCACAGGAGCGAAGGCCAGTTGACGACACGCCCATCTGCTCTGTTCAAGGGCAAGGTTAAGTGACGAATGATTCATTTTCTAGGCATGTGGTTAGTGAACCTCTGCGACTACAATTCGAAAACTTATATTTAAGATATATGTTTGCACGTTTTATAGCAATCACTGTCGCGCAACCAGTCTTCTTCAGTGGCGGCTTCCAAAGTACCTACCAGTCAGTGTGAATATCATTTCACGTTTTTCAGGATTCAAGAATTTCGGTCAACCTCAGGATTACACTGAAGCCATTCCGGATGCAGTGAACCTGGTCGAGAGAATATGGTACAGGATCTATAAATTGTACTCAAGTAAGACAACTTTGAACAATAATTCTCTCCAATGGAGAAGTCCGCCGAGAGGGAAAGCTCAAGACGGAAAAGCTGGCCCTGGAAAAAGAAGTCACACGACAAAATTTCCGCTGCACCAGCGCTTGCTCCCTCCACACTCACCTCCAAATCAAATGACAATCAGCAGGTGTGAAAATCTTGCAATGAAGTGCTGCTACAGATTAATGCGCCAGGGATGTAGGTTTGATTCTTCTTTCTTCAAATGCAAGTAATCTGAAAACTAGAATGTGAGATATTATGGTACTTCGGGTATGGTGATTCACCTCTCGAATGTGATGGACGTGAGAAAAATTCCAGATATGGGAGTATCAGCCTACAGACCTGCCAAGCCATACGCGAAAGACTTTCTCGATGAAGTTCTCAATGCAGCAAGACCGCAATCGAATGGTAACTGATGAGGCCAAGGCTCAGAGATTGCAATCAGAGGAGAGAGCCGAAACTCTCGCGGATAAGCTTTCCAACGCACTTGCTGATATCACCGCAAAAGATAATCTTGTCAAGCAACACGTCAAAGTTGCTGAAGAGGCCGTATCTGGTGTGTTTTCCCTGGTTGTGGGGGGGAACCATATGAGAGTGATTCGTTTCGATTTTCTGTATTTTGTTACTGACAGTGACAAATATGACGTTATTGATCTGGTCCGAAACATCTGATAATTTTGGAACGGCACAGATCAGATTAGCATTGTTACTGGGTGTGGATGAGACGCACAAATGGACAATTGTATCAAACATTGTTTGTTTGTTTTTTTTTTCTCTCAGGCTGGCATTGAATAACCAGACAACGTTGGTGTTTGGTAATCTTGTTTTTCAGGTTGGGAGAAGGCCGAAGCGGAAGCGGTGTCACTGAAAGCACAACTTGATGCAGCTCTTCAAAAGAAACTGGCCACTGAGGGTCGAGTGTGTCACTTGGATGGGGCTTTGAAGGAGTGCATGAAACAGCTGAGGAATATTAGAGAGGAAAATGAACAACGCATTCATGATTTATTGTTGATAAAATCACGAGAATTTGACAAATTCCGATCGGAAATGGAAGCAGAGCTCGCAGAATCTTCTCATCTTCTGGCTCAGAACCTTTCTGAGCTCGTGAAATCAAGAGCAGAAGTTTCCGCTCTTGGTCATGCCTTACAGGTGAGAGCTTCAGCGCATGTTGTTTTGTAATCTAAAGCACAGCACATCGTGTGGCATGATATCAGCGCTCAATTGTATTAGAAAACTAAATACATACGTCTGTCTGAGACGTTCAGGAACGTTCGAAAAGTATAGCTGCGATTCGTGAGGACAAAAGACTTGCCGAGGCCGAGATAAAAGCATTCCAGGTATGAGTTGAAAATATTCGAACAAATTTTTGACTCACTGAATGGTTCAATAATTCACATCCTTCATCTCTTTTTAGAGGAAGACCTCATTGGTGTTTTGGCAGCCCTGTATTACCGCACATCTAAGATTTGCTGAAACTAGTTGATATTATTATTGGAGATGTCAATCCTTACCTGAGTTAACGAAGTTGAATACTTGAAACACGGTAGAAATAACTTGCGCTTACATCCTTTTCGAATGATCATAGATTTGTAATGTGCTTAATTTAGGTGATGCTGGAGACGACGGTGAAGGAAAATTCGCAACCTAAGCACGAGGTACATGTCCTCAACAAAGAGCTCGATATCCGCAGCCAAGAGCGCGAATACGAACGTAAGGCGGTGGACATGGCATCTAAACAACATCTGGAAAGTGTGAAGAAAATTGCCAAGCTTGAGGAAGAATGCAATCGTCTTCGTCTCTTAGTACGCAAAAAACTTCCAGGTATCTCTTCTACCTCTTGTCACCTCAAAAGCTTTCGCTTGCACACTTGTAACGATGTACAGATAGAACCAATGAGCTGAACTGATCGACAAAGTTATAGCAGCTTAGAAGAGAATTTAGTAACTACATGTGTGGTGTGCCCGGAGTGAACATGTCACAATAGTGATATTGGTTGAGTTTAACATGTCTTCAAGTTTGTGACGGAGAAATGCATTGAACATCAGATTTTCATTTTGAGACATCAGACGTTGATATGTGGCTGGTTTGATTGCCCTCTGCAGGTCCAAGAGCAATTCAAAGAATGAGGATGGAAAATGAGGGTGTGTCTAAGGAGCCAGCTGATAGGAGGCGCAGGTCTATGAGCCGTAGTGGTAGTCAATCGGATCTGTCAGTTGCAAGCAACACTATGCAAGAGAATGAACTGGATGGGCGAACTTACGAGGCACAAATGCTGGCTGAGCGAGTGGTGGCCATGGAAGAAGAGATAAACATGCTGAAGGAAGCCCTCACACAAAGAAATGCAGAGCTTGAGTCTGCTCGTCTCATGAGCTCAAAAGCCACAACCCATCTCTCCGTTGTAGAGAAAGAACTCAAAAGGGCTAAACAGAAAAATGGTGCGGGTTCCGTTTCTCAAAATAAATTTCTTTGTTGAGGGCTATTTAATGCTCAGCTTATCAATCTACAGGATTGGTATCTCATTTGTTTTAGGGAAGATTTTCGCAAGTTGAAAGCAGATGTGACGATGTCCCTCTTTAACGTCCGTAGACATATAATAATCCTTGACATCCTTGCAGATGCGTCAGATAGCGCCAGTGTACCACCCAACGGCTTCTCCGAGTTTACGAGAAAGATGAGAGGTTCATTATCTGATAGTCCGAGTGACTCAGTCAAAGCAAGAGACTTTGAGAAGTTTGAGCTCATGGATGACTTTGCGGAGATGGAGCGTCTCGCCATGAGTGCGACCCTGACAGAAACGCAAAGTACTATGCCAACGACGCCGATGGACTTGGTTCAGAACTTGGAGGATACCTTGAAGGCCAAAATCCAAGACTTACGAGTTGCCGACCAGATGTATCAGGACCTGAGGACGAGGTTGAAAGAAACTGAAATGGAACTCAATGTTCTTCGTTCCCGGAACACAAAGGAGACCTCCATGATTGGTTTGCAAGAACAGTTGGCTCTATTTTCCAAGCGGGAGCGAAGAAGAAGTGGCAGCCAGTCGACGAGACTCTCTGGCTACTCGTTGAAAGATATTTTGGGGAGGGCTAAGAGAAATGAAGATGCGAGAACAACTTCAGAGGCCAGCTCGTTAGAAGGGACGATGCGTGACGAACAAGCCTCCATTTCAGATGCTGAGTCGAAGGTTTAAGATTTTCTAGCTACATATACTATGCAAGATCTTCGTGAATGAGTACATGGATTTTGACGAAAATCACTTGTTTGTTGTCATGCGCGGCACTCGCTATTTGTAAATATTAATAAGATGTTAAGGAATCACCATCAGAACTTTTATTGTTTTAATTGTAACAACTGCCCGGTATCAATTATTTCTTCTTCAATTGTTGATGTATGGTTCTTATGATGTGTCCTGTTTGCAGGCTGACAGCCCTCATTTGGAGCTTGCAATCGCAGTTCGCAAGATTTTCCATTCGGTCGAAATGCTTTATCAGGCAACTGGGTACAGTTGCACCCCATCTGTCATGAGCCTGCCGAAATTGATAACTAATGAAATCTCACTACGATATGAGTGGCGAAATCCTGGGTTGAAGACTATTTTGCGTAATCTGGCGCATGTGAGCAACATGTTGTTGCAAGGACAAACTGATTTCATTGATTTTATAGTGGAGGTGGGAACAGTCTTGGATTATATTGTGTCCTTAAAGCCGCTGGGAAGCTGCACTTCTCCTATAAAAGGTGAAATCTCACGGGAATCAGCTAATAAAGATCTAAAGTTTTCGAGGGATCTTTCGGTAAGCACAAATGGGGATGTTGGGCGCCTCGAGTCGGAGAAGGCGGACATCTCTACCCAGTTGGAAATAAGTAATGAACACGTTGGATCTCTAAAACTGCCACAAGAAGAAGACCCAGTGCTCACTCACAAAGTTCCGCAACTTCAAGTACAGACAGATCCTGTAACATCTCCCCTAATGTTTACATGCATGAAAGTCTCTGTTTTGTTGTCAATCGCACAGTTCCTTCCAGAATCACAACAAAAATGACAAGCAATGTGCATGCTTTTCTAGTGATATGTCCTATAATTTGCAGGGCATGTTTCATTACAGATTTTATTACAGCAAGGCAATGATCCTGAAACCCCCCAAACCAAGGAAGATGATATGATTGAAGAAGAGCTAATGGCGCTATCATCTCCGAATCCTGCACTCCGAGCTGCAAGTGGAGAGCTCACAAGATTGCGGGATAGAGTGGCTGGTTTGGAAAGGGAGCTTCAAGGAGAACGACAGCGTAACCAAGGCATTGCTACGAAGACAGGGGACGTGCAACATCAACTTCAAAGGTGAAGGTTCTAGCCACTTAAGTGTGCGGCGTGTTGGATGAGCTTGTACTCAGCGCCTTTAATGACATCTGTCTCTGTGCCTTAATATTCCATATTGGAGTTAACAAACGAATGGATTTGTTGCGGGTCAAATGCGGCTAAACCACAAAGAACGCTCCCTCTAAAGTACTTGTACAGACACAAAATTTTATAAGCTTCAACTTTTGCAGGCAAGGCAACGCCGTCAGCAGGGAAATGTCTGGTGGATCACATGGGGATCTGTCCAGTCACTCGACCTCCGAAGAAGATGAAGATTCTAAGCCTAAAAAGGTACCTCTTTTTCACACCCATTTTGGCGATGACAGTTTATAAATGAATCCACGAAGTTGGGTTAGATACAAGAACTTGAAAGGTGTAGATGAAGCCAAATACAATATACGAACAACGAATGTGAAGACAACGGGGGATAAGGTAGCCTTGATCAACCCTTAGTTACATTATCCCGAAGTATAATTGTATTAACTTGGGGTCGAGTTGCTGCTTGGAGCACGATATTTCCTCAATTTGCAATCATCTTTATTTTGCAGCTATTAGTTAATCACCCGATGAAGCACGAGCCTCCAAAACGCGACACCCAAGCAGCAGCCTTGGCCGAGTGCCAGAGAACCATTCTAGCATTAGGGAAGCAGCTCAAAGGCATCGAGACAGGCTACCATGCTCTAGAAGAAAGAGATACGTCTCCAAAAGTTGCACATTCTCCCCGACCCATTGAAAAAACGACCCAAAACGTGGAGCTTCTTCTCCGGCAATCAGAACCAACAGAAGACGTTGAAGCTCCACCAATCGATCCTGACAAAACTTACAATCTCCAAACGCCGGGGGTTCAGGATCAAGGCAACCAGTGGGTTAGCCCCAGCCCACGATGGGCCCACCGAGGCTCCAGTCCTATAACAAGCCGCATGTCAAACTCTGGTGTGATATATTCCCCTTTCATGCGCGCTAGCGATGCTGACTTCTACAATCGTGGAAATCAAAAAGGCAATGGACCTGAAAGAGAAAGAGGACAACATACACCACGAGGCTCCTCGCCGGCACGATCAGAGATTCACAACCAGGAAGCAGGGTCTGGACCGGGATCCCCTGCCCGATCTCCCGCAATCACACCCTGGTCCTTGAGAAGTCGCCTCAAGGATGCATTCGGTGTTGCACAAGGGGATTCAGTCGCTTCGGCAGAAAAGATGCGAAGTAGTTCCAGCTTCAGCAGGTTTTACTCGAAGAGCAAAAGTGGGAGCATGAGCTGATCTTGTGGATAAGACAAAGTGTCACAACTCAGGCTTTATTATGGCGACTTTTCTCCATCTAAACGAAGTCCAATACCGCGAATCAAATCGTCAGCTGCAGGAAGCAATACACATAGTTCCTTGCAAGACATTGGCAGCTCATCCTCAAAGGTTGTTGTCTGGTTTAACCTGCTTTTCCATGCATTGATTGGTGTTTCACAATGGTGTGATGGAGGAGATTTAGGAGCTTACAAGTTAAGAACTGCTTTGACAGGAAGCTGAAGTTGGGTACTTCCACACATCAACTGATTTCATGGTGTTGGAAGTAATTGGTTTGGTATACTGCGCCTGCTGCGCAAAAGCATCTTGAGTTGTAGGTAGCTGCATGAACTTCCAATTTAGTGGTGTGCCCATGCAATCCAGACTTTAGAACACAAAAACCACTAGATCCGGTTCTTCAGTTGTTGTCGTGATGTAATTAAGAGAAAGGTGTTTTCAACACCCCCTTTTGAGGTGCACTGGGCCCCTCGGCTCGATCAGTTCAGTGGACCAATCCTTGGTAAGTAGTAGGTAGTATCTGAAGGTAAACTCGTCAATAAGTTTGTTTGCTACATTTAGATATTCACTTGATCATTGAGTTATCAATCATCTTCGAAACCTCTTTTCCTTACTGAATTCTCCGGCTTCGCATTGCTGAGACAAGTTGTGAAGAAAAATGTTGTTTTGACAGTCTTTTAGGGTGGTCTAATATGTTCCTTTGGATCCCTAAAAGAATAAAATGTATAAACTCTAGTCTTAAAAATGGAGTTACAATTAGAACTGGGGTCATGATGTGCGTATTCAGAGCATTTTGATTAATACAGGTTTGTACAAGACATTAGTTTTGTTGAAAAGGTTGTTAGCTTTCTAGAATCGATTGAGATCCTTGGTTGCAGAGAATTGTGGTAGTTATTTGTAATTAAGATTCCATTATTATCATTATTAATACAAGCAATGTATGTCCTTGTTTTGATTTAGAAGTAAAATTATAAAGCAAGTTATTGATGTATAATAATTTATAATACAATAATGTATCACAATGTAACCAACAATTACACCAACAAATTCAATCAATACCAAACTAGATAAAATGAAATAATTATAAAAAAATGCAAAATAAAATATAAATAAATAAAAATTTATAGTTTTTTTGTGGTCGGTTTAAAATTATATATATAAATATATATATATATATATATATATATATATACACATATATATTAAGTGAAATTCAGCAATTATCTTAGTAATTTATAATATTTTATAGTATTTTATTTCAAAAATAAAATAAAATAAAAAAGTAGTAATTTTTTTATCATCAATCTTATCATTATAATTATTTTTGTATTATAAATCATTTATATAATTTTATTTGTATTTATATATATGAATGTACATACATTTATTAGGTTGTTAATAATTTTCATCTTAAACAAAGGTTCTAAATAAATTTTAGATGCACTTTAAAAAAAAAAAAAAACACACTTTTCCAAATTGTATCATTATTTTTTTTGAAAACATAGATAAAATAAAAATCATTAGTAATGCTCCTAAGTTAACTTTTTAAATAACATTTTTTTAAGTTTTATACTAGAATTTAGAAAAAAATAATAAACCTTATGAAATTATACATACATACACACACACACACACACACACACATATATATATATATATATATATATAACTATCTATAAAAAATTAATACTTGCAAAGTAAATATTTATATATTTATTTATATATTTGTTAATTTAGTCTTATAATTATTAATTTACAAACAAATACACACATACTTTTTTAAATATGGTGGCATCAACAAATTGCTCTTCTTTAATATATAACTATATATATTATTAAACTTAGATTGCTAAAAAACTGAAATATGTGTTGCAATTGAAATTTTCTACAATTTTATTTTAAAAAAATTTCATAAAAAAATAATATTTAATATATAAATACATCATATATATATATATATATATATATATATATTAGTGTCACAAACTCCAAAGGCAACTTTCCAATTGTACCCCATCATTTTAAAAAAAAAAAAAAATCTATTAACATAAAATCGTCTTCTGCACACACAAACATATATATATATATATATATATATATATAAATTTGTGTGTTTAAACAGGATTTAATAGTGTTCAGTTATAGTAAATTTTTAGTACTAAATACAGAACATGTTTAATTTTAAAAAAGAAAATATATTTATTTTAAAGGAACAACTACTACTATATATATAGATATATATATATATATATATATATATTCATATTTGTAATATTGCAACTATAGTTTTTATACATGAATAGATATGTTTATGCCAATAAAACTCATACATAAGAGCTTCTTTAAAAATAATATTAGTAAAAATATCTATAAAAAAATTCAGATTTCCAAATTTATTTTTTATATAACAGAAAAAATGCAAACAACAAGAATATTTAATACACTTTATATACATAAATAGCATCTTCGTTATTTTATAATTTAATATTTTTATAACATACTTCATGTTATATTTATGTAAACATATTATATAGTTTAATGTAATAGATGTATTATTTATTCAAAAGAATAATCCAATTCATGAATCATCAATGATTTAGTTTTATGATTGAAAAGAATTAGACATTTCTTAGTTAAGTATTTTGAAACATAGAAATGAATTAATAGAAGAATTGCATAACAAACTATAAGTTAAAATATGAATTTTTAAGATTTTGTTGATGATACCATAATTTTTGCTACTACCACCACAATGCCACTTTTGTTTAATATCTTTCAATCTATTTGATTTAATATAATTTTTTATTAAAAAATTATTAAAAATATATGACAAGTAAATATCACAACTACATCAATATTAGTGAATATAAGAGGAGTTAGGTAGAAGTAGGTAGAAGTAAGTAAATTTGATGATATCTTATAGAAAAGCTACTTAGAAGGTTTATAGATGCAAATTTGACTTTCTAAGTGTTTGTACATAATGGATAGGTTAAAAACTTAGCCAATAAGTTGACTTCATCTTGCACATATTGGATATTTGTTGTATAAGTTGGCCATGTGGTGCACCTATTGAAACTTTGTCTTGCAAGTTAGACATATATTACAAGATGGATACATATCAAATGACCTATAGAATATTGCCACATAGTTTTCTAGTTAGATAGTATTTATGGAGGCAAGAATAAGACTTCTTTTACTCTTATCAATGCTTTTCTTGTATTCTTGTTTTAAATCAAGAATCTCTAATTTCTTTGTATTTGGCGGTAGATATTTTAATTTTTTATCTTATATCTATTTTTTATTTGATTAAACTTTTTTAAGTATTATAAGAATATATTATTTTTTAAGAATTGTATTATGATATATATTCTTGATAATTTAATGAATATTAATTAATTATTTTTGTTATATTTTAAAAGTGTAAAGATTATTCTATATTTACAAAAAGGAACTTATAATTGTGGATTTATTTTAAGAATAGTTCCATTACTTAAAAGATACTTCTAGTCTAATAATTGATTATATTAATTATATTAACCTTAAGTATTTTATTTCAATACATGTTTTAAATCATCATTAGATCCTTTAAAGCATATTCTTATAAAAATTTATATCCAATATCTATATAGGCTAAAATAACAACAAATTATCCTAAAAAAATATTTTTTAAATATTTTCATCTTATATCAATTATTTTTAAAATAATTTTTTATTTCTTGTTTAACTAAATATTAATTTCTACCTTAACCAAATATTAAAAATTCTTCTAAAATAAGATTAATTTCATCTTTGAGTAATAAAATTAATATTGATTATTGATTCAATATTTTAAAATCAAATTCAATCAAATATATTGTCATATTATTTTGCACCTCACAAACTCTTCCAGTCCATCCTCAACAAAAGTAATAACAGAAACTAACAAAACCATGTAACAAAGACTAACTTCAAACATCAAATCTCAAACAACAATCTGTCATAGTAACGTCACCCTCAGCCATCAAAACTAGTCACCAAACAAACTTTTCGTCAAACTCCCCCCCCCCTCCTTTTCTTCATCCACTTATTCATCTTCATCCACGGCTGCCGTCGTCAATCGATTCGGAAGACCAAAGGAGGGTGGCCAGTGTCGGTCAACGAGGGTTGACCGATGGCGACACCCGCAGCGGAGAGGACGATGCATAGGGACGGGCGGGGGTGGGGGGGTGGACAACGTGAAGGGAAGGGCGGGCGGCGGGGGAATTCGACGACGGCAGGGAACAACGGCCCGCGTCTGTCGACCTGCCACATTTCAATGCCGTCGTCGATACGAAGGGTTGCTTTCATCGAGTCCCATTTGTCCGCCATTCGGGGGAATTCGACGACGGCAGGGAACAACGGCCCGCGTCTGTCGACCTGCCACATTTCAATGCCGTCGTCGATACGAAGGGTTGCTTTCATCGAGTCCCATTTGTCCGCCATTCGGGGGAATTCGACGACGGCAGGGAACAACGGCCCGCGTCTGTCGACCTGCCACATTTCAATGCCGTCGTCGATACGAAGGGTTGCTTTCATCGAGTCCCATTTGTCCGCCATTTTGAACGTGTGATGGGGTGGTCGTAATAGTCCCCATTCAGAGTCCCATTCCTCAGGTCTGCCGTTGCGACGCATCCTACCCCTGCACGGGGCCCTTGGACCTCGGCCTTTTGGTAGTATCCAAATAATTATGCTTGAATGGGCGCCATCGCTAACATTGCAGGAGCGGGCTGTTTCAAGGAATTCGAGATTTGAGGTCCTCTCCTTCGTGTGCCGTTCTCTTCCCCCTCGCGGCGGATGCATGGGCCGGAAGCTGCTCTTCTTGTTGTTGGCTACATTCATGATCCTCATGATTCCTCTCACGTCGATCCTGCCGCTGCCCACTCCGCCTTGGCTGCTCATGCTGCTGCCGGTGCTCGTCTTTGGGGCGCTTCTGACCGTCGCTGTCCGGTTTCAGATTTCTGAAGCTCGCATTGCGGATGATGCTTCGAAGAAGCACCCGGAGTTTGCTGTGTAAGCATGGCGGGACTTGGAATGTTCGTATCAGGACGTAGGAATCGTATGGATCGGCGGAGATGCTGCGCGAAGTCGCTAACGCAGCGGTCAAGTTGCTAAGCTCCTGTCGGTTTTTCTTCGCATTCGTTGTTTTTATTTTATTTATTTTATTTTTTATTTTTTTGATTCATTCTGAATTGGAGCCCTTGTTGGGTGCTAGATTAGGTTGCACGTCCAGAGCAATGGAGGTTGCAATTATATTGTATTCAGTTACCTCATTACAGACTGGAAAAAAATGCCGTCATTGCTTGGATGAGCTTGTTGATTCTAGATTATGAAATCAAGAGTTTAGGGTCACGACGGGTTTCGGGGCATCGTCATGCATCGGGAATATCCAAGTTTTGACTTCGTCGAATTAGTTTCAGAATGCATTCGGTTCACACCTTTGCATCGACCAGAAATTTTGGGTTCCATGTAGCTTTATGGAAGCTGAGGAGCGAACATGTTTAAGAATTAAACTAGAATAAACTTTTGCAAAGATTGGACGTGATGTATTTTGGCCCGATCATGTTAACATCACATTTTCTTCTTCGCTGGAAAAGATTTTTCATTTCATCGTTGATTGCGTTGCGACGTGATTTCTTCCAGCATTCCACTTCACCGTCAGTTCCTCAATATCTATTAATCTGAACTGAAACTGACCTGAAGGTCACGGTTTTACACGACAATAGCCGAATAATTTTCCTACATTGCCACTCCGAAGACCTTACCGTCCAGGTCCTTGGTCCTTAATCAGTAGGGTTCAGGAGTTTTACCTCTTCTTTGCTCCTCGAGACCACCCCTTTCACGGGGTCAGAAGTAAAATGCTTGTGTGGGAGGGTGGTTCGGACGATGCCAACTGGCTCTAGGAAATCAGCTGTCCCCACCTGTACGCTTATCTTTAAAAATTATGCTGAAAATCCCGGAATCCAATTCCTATAGATAGGTGTGATTAGCCTTGTCTGCGATACCAGCAGCCTCCAGATTTCAGGAGAATTAAATTTGCGTCGACGATGTGACATTAGGCTTCACCATTGCTACGGTGCATGATTGCGGAGCTGGAATCTGTGGACAACGAATGCTGCAGTTGATGAATACAACCAACTACGTGGATAGTGATCTCATCCAGTTACATCCTCGATGCAGGCGCAAAAATCAGCAGGAGATGGCAGGTGAGGAAAGGGACTCGCTCGGAAGTTTCATGTAGCCCTCCACCCAGTGCCAAACCCTGGGATCCTGACAAATGGTGTAATGCACGAACCCGAAAAGATGAGGTTCGCTTTGCTTGTTTCGCGCCGTAGAGCCAACACTCCTTTTGCTTTCTCAGGTTTTTTGTCGTTCGACTGTTCTCAGAGTTGTGAGTATCGTAACTGAGTTGGATGTTAAGATTAGTCCGGCTTGCGGTGCTCTTCTGAGGTTGAAAGGTGGTGGGTTTCCTCCTAGATGTTTTGAGATTAGGTAGAAGGTACAGTTTGGTGTAGCTCTCGAAGAAATGGCGGCAGCGCTGGTAGCAGCGCGGTTGCCGCGTCCGCAGCGTGAATTCGTGGACGTAGTAGGGCGTGAGACGATGGAGTTTGGGAGCTCTGGAGTTAGATTGCGGCCTGTATCATCCTTGCTAGTGTACCGGCTCAAGGGCATTATCTCGGAGTCCAGGTTCGCCAGATTTTTCCTTGATCTCGTTTTGTTTCTCCTGTTCTTTTCAGGTTAGAATCTGAATTCATTGGTGTGATGAAAATTGGGGTTTCTTGCGAGCTGTCAATCCTTCACAAATCCGGTTTCGCGAATTCAATCTATTTAGAATAGCTGTTTATGAACGCAGTCGACCGAGTTGTAGGTTTTGAGATACGATTCTCCTGGTAGAAATCTGAGACCTGTATCTCGTATGGATCAGCTTATAATCTCATTTCTAAATATAACGCTGATATTTAACTTGCACTATTGTTCAGGTTTCATGATTCTTACGAAAAAGAATTTTGAGAAATGTGCTAAATTTTTTGTCGGTCGTTTCTGGGAAAGCTCTGTTGTAGTCGCAGTGTGTACTGTAGCGGTTCGAGGGAAAGCATAGAATAATCTTTCATGCTGCTTAGTGTCCTCTCGTTTTGTTGCTTTTGGTCAGTGCGCTTACTTGAAGATTATCAAACAGCCTGCGTTGCTATTTCGAAATTTTGATATTCTAGCGTGGACAATGTACATAACTTACTCGCAATTTGAACATGAAAAATGAGTATATGCAATCCAGCATTAAGGTATCACCAAGTGAAATTTTCTACAAGAAAATCTTTTGTGAAGCAGTAGTCTAGCCTCCTGGGTTGAAGTAAGCGAGTGATATCGTGTACTTTGATATTTCTTGCCCAAATTAAGCATTGCCAATCCACATCGAATGAATATGTCCCAACCTTTTGCGACTTAAGTAACCCGCGGCTTTAGTCATCACGATTCAGTGACTTGCTGTGTTGGAATCAATCTGCATTGCTATAATTTCTTCCACAATGTTAAGTTGCCCAGGGTTGCTTAATTATGTAATGGTAGCCGTGTACTCTTAGAAATTTTGTGACCAGGTGCTTGGGTGTTTGTAGAACGGGGATGTGCAGAAACTTTCTTTTCAGGAAACCGTTTTCCAAGAGAAAGGTTCATATTGCGGTAGTGAGCGAGGGCGATGATGACATTACAGACATTCAAGGTAAGTCATAATGACTTCTATCCAAATCCGACGTAGTGCGTGTCCGGTTCATGAGCATTCATGAGCATTCATGTTCTCCACTTGGAGTACTTGTAGAACGTTTTAGAATCCGTCCCACTCTTCAGAAACTGACAGTCAGTGCAGAGTGTTGGGAATCTGTCATCTCCGTTATGCATGATTGGAGCAAAGAGACGGTATCGCTTGTTCTTTTAAAGCCGCCTTTATTGATTGGTATTCAACTTGAGCCGATGATCTCATCAATGCGAGTTCGACCATCTTGTAAATGGACCCTTGGCAGCTGTATCTAACGCTAAATACGTCATATAAAGATTGGAGTCTTTGGTCTACACTTCTACCGCGCATCTCTTATAAATACTGTTTTCCTTTAGGTTGCTTGGAGATGGACCTGTTAGGAAAAGATTTTTTTTTCAAATTGAGGGTTAGATGGTGCTTGTATCCCTAAAACCTCAATCAGAAAATTTGAGGTCTGATGGCCGTCAACTCTTGCTGGTGGGTGGCGGTAGCGAGACCTTGATATATAACTCACCAGCCTGCTGCGAGGTTTATGCTTTCTCATGCACCGTGTAAAATCGGATGGGAACCGGAGAGCTTGATTTAGGAGATGATGTTTTAGGTTTTGGTTGGCCTCTGAGGTACCAATATTGTTGATGCAGCTTTTGGGGCTCGCAGAGCTTGCAGATGGGAGTCTTTTCTTCTCCTTCGCCGGATCTCCATCTTCTGTCGAAGCTTCAGCTCAACCGAGGGCAAAGCAGAATGACAACATCAAGATGAACGGGTGCGCCTCCGCGCACAATCTGACACGCACAACTCTGCCACCACGCCAGCCATCGAGCTTCCGAAAGAAATCCCCGATTCCTTCTCGAGAACCAGGTTCTAGTTCCGAAGTTCAAGCGGCTACTTCTCAATCTGCTGTAGCAGAAGATCGGAATACGAACAAAGGCGCCATCCCCAGCAAATCTGGAAAGCATGAAAGGCCCCTGTCGTTATTCTTGAAGAAGTCGCCAATACCGAAGGAACGTCGAGTGTCGTCCTCAAAGAAAAGCTCGTCAAATGAGGTGTCCTCTGCCATAGAAGCTCCCAGAAAGTCAAAATTGACGAAGAGATCGTCAATTTCGAAGAATCGAGACACCGCTCCAGCTTTGACCTCCGAGAAGAAGAGGAATTCTAGTGAAGCATCTGGAGTCGGAGAAGCTTCTATAAAAGCCAAACCTGCAGTTATCGATCTCGAAAGTGACTCACCATTCTCTTCCGAGCTGAAGGAGATTTTGAATCACAGCAAGCAGAACCGCAAGCAGACGGCTGGACAAGCCACAGAGAGTGTCGAAACCTCAACCGCAGCTCCTGCAGAAGATGCTTCTTCAGCAAATAAATCATCAAAGCCGTCAAAGGCTGCGAATGTGAATATCGAGGTTGGTCAAGCTGAGGGTCTTAAGAATAGTGTTTTGAGTAAAGACTTGTCAAATTTCAAGCTTCCGGAATTGAGGAGCAAAGCAAAGGCGAGGGGGCTGAAGGGATACTCGAAACTAAAGAAGAGTGAGCTTATTGATCTTATAGCCACTCGTGAGGTCACGTAAGAGATTGTAGCTTAAATGTAACTTGTGAACAGGAAATGGAGTTGTGCACTTGCGATGAAATCCAGGATACCTTACGATCAGTTTTATTTGTCATTTTGTCTCCCGTTTCGCCTGTGGCGGAGCTCCATTCGTGATATCTGAGTTCTGTAACGGTTTCTGGAAACCGAGAGTTCCCTTCTTTAACTGTAGATTTGACTTGGAGCTCGACCCTTCGTGTTCAAAAGATATCTATGCTTGCCGCTCCGACGGAACGATGCACTTGATTCGATACCACTCTTTCACTCGCACGAAACTCCACTCTGCGTAGTTGAGCAAAATCTTGCATCAGTTGATTTCATGTGAAGATGTTCCTATGCCTGAACATCAGGTTAGTCCAAGTGTTACATAATGAATGTCTGGATGTTGAGTTGACATGATCTTGTCAAGGAATGAGCTAGTACCTGAGTCTAGCTTGTGAGGTTAAGCGAATCTGAAGGGGCAGGTTATTTAATAGTCATAAACTAGATGACTGCGATTGTTTAGGGCTGGGATGTTTAAACCTTGTCTCCACTGCGATAGCAGTAGAGACGGTTAGAGGCGTTGCATGATGATTGTTCGACGTTTATCATAGATGCATTGGCTGCAAATATATCTTCCGCAGAAAATTGGGTAGTTGTTGCAGCGCTACATCGTATGGTGTCTGCAACATTCACTCCGCTTGTATTGAAAGCATCGTTGCTTGATATAAGCCTGCTTCGGAGGAAGAGTCCTGCTCATCTCTTTTGGATTCTGTCTATTTCTATCGTACAAATGTCTCTTCTGAACAGATCATATATACGTCTGTTGTGCAGTGGATGCCCTAGATTTAATTTGAGTGTATTTCAGCCTTATGTGCAAATTCGCATGTCTCGTTCACATTGAAGATTTCGAGGAAGACTTCCTGTTATTAACGTTACACTAGGTTATTTATGCGAGGACAAGTTGTTCTATCGTGCAGAACATCCTCGAGGTGCAGCTTCCTATCCAGCCTTGCCACACACGATTCACTTTCCATAGCGCATGTTGTTGATACGGGGTAATGACTCGCCCCATAGTCAGACGGCTATCAACACCATGTGATCATGCCACACGACAGAGACATGGTCGCAAGCGAAAAGTGCAACCTTTAGAAGCTTGGAAAATGGACTGTGAGGAAGAGAAATCTGATGACATGTATCTTCGAGGCTTGAATTTCCACACCATCGAGCAGATTGCGGACGGAGTCGAACGAATGATGTTCTCCTGGAAATTGGATACTTTCGCAAGAGGGCAGGAGCATGCAAGGATTTTCAATGCCTCGACTGCCGCGATATCGGACACCCTTTGTCAGCATACATGCAGAAAGGGAGAGAACGAGGAGTATGGATCGAATGTGAAGCAGGACCCCGGAAGAATTTGTACCGTTTGTCATACGTTCGCAACTCAGCAAGTGACCTCCAAGTTGATGGGCTTCTCCTGCCCCAGGTACCCAGCAGCACATGAAGCACACCAACGCTACGAAAAATTTCGCTCAAGGAGTCCATCGCTCGTGCAAGGATTTGCTGGGGAACCCAAATTCGACTGCGGACAGAACTCGTATTCCTTGCAAGTGCTTCCTCAAAGAAATGACTGGATAACAAGCAGCTCCACAGCAAACGTATCAATGACAGCTAGTCGGGTATTTGAGTTTCCAGGATATCCTCGTGTGACAATCCGTCAAGACAGAGTGAGACGAGGTTGTACTGTTTTGGAAATAAGGGAAGACTGTGCAAATTCCACACAAATCTCAACTTGCGAAAAGAGTGTGGGGACGGAAGCCGAGAGTTTAGAGCGTCGGCAGGACCACATGATTGCCAAGACACAGCTCTCTTCTCAGCTTTCATTTAAGGGAATGGCTTCATCACCAGATAACGAGACCGTCCCTCTCACTCCGCTACCTGAAAGTAACTGTTATTCTGTCAATGAGGAATCCTACGCTTGTCAGTTCCCTAGTCCCGGTGCCGAGTGCCAACCACACAATTTACGTCTGAAAGAAGAAGTTCACGCTTGTCATGCTTCAACCCCAACATATCCGGCCTGCTTGAGTTTCTCCGTTGGGGGACCCTCGCCACACAACGTAACCGGCAAAGACGAAGCTGCTTGCGCTTGTCATCCTCCAACCCAATCACGGCGCTGCTCCGGTTATTCTGTTACGGAGCAACAACTAAATGACTCGCCTCGCAAAGGCGACGATCGATACGCTCATAATAGTTCAAGCCTAGCACAACGCTGCTCTAATGTCCCAAGCCCTAATGTCCCCTGCTCGGTTGAGCACTCAGAAACTGAAGGGTTGAACGAGCCCGCATGCGATGCGGTAGCGGGAGTTATCGCATGCACCGACTCTGGGAATCGTAACTGCAAAAATGTAGTGGTTAAATGTTGTGGCAGAATCCCTCACTTCTGTTCCACTTACTTCTGCGCTCGTCAAAACTCTCGTCACAGAGCGGGAACAATTCAGAAGCTTGAAGTAGGTGCGTGGTTCAATCAAGTATGCTGAAAGCTTGTTGTGGAATAAGGTTTCGACAGTTTAGGCTCTCAGTTGCCAGAATATTGCTGAAGTAGGGTTCAGAGAAATCGACGAAGATGAGTTGTACCATAAGCAGTGCAGTCCCCTGAATTGGATGTCTGGGTGAAGGTGGACGTCCAGTGACACTGCCAGTGTTGCAAAATGGCACCATGGCTCTCAAGAACAAGTTTGATTCACTCATCTACACGACCGTGAATTCTCCCGCCATCTTCCAGGTGAGCACCCACTTTCCGGGTTTGTGTTTTTCTAGGTTTTAGGATTACTGAAAGAATGAGACGTGTGGAGCATGTTTGTAGCTCTGTAATCTGGTAGAAGATAGTGGTCGCAGTGAAAACCTCCTGCTTTCTTCAGACTATGATTGTGTGGCTGAATTTTTAGATTCAAAGCATAAGTTGCGAAAGGGCATTTGTTCTGTGGATGATCAAGGTACAGAGTCCTAGACCAGAGGGTGCATATGGTTGAAAGTTAGCGGTGGTTGCATCAGGGGAAGGAGATTACGAGACTGGGGAGCCATCAGATTTCAAGTGTGGAAGAGCTCCAGCTAGCTCTCGTTGAATGTGCAACGGAGTTTGAAATCAAGGTTCGTCGCTGTACCGGTTGTACATTTCTCATTACGCAACTGAAGTAGGTGGGTTCGAGACTTGAGTAATCTGTCTCTAACACTACAATCCTGCAACCTGAAACTCTTACAAGGTTAACACATGCTTCGAATTCGTATTTGAGGCGTGAAATTCTCGTGTATGACATGTTGTTGTGTTGTGTTTTCAGACTTTAGATGCGCAGATGAAAATGCACGAGCTGAGAGCTCAGAAACGTCCTGGAAGCGGTGAGCCTGACCAACTTACAGATTTGCAGGAAAACCGAAGCCAAGATGAGGTCCGCACACTCGACTAGCTTCTCTGGATATCATCATGGTTGCTTCCCGTCGATTGCTACATTCTTAGTAGGTCATTCGGCCAGCCTCGGGGAATTTCTAATCCCTGTACCTGCAGTTTGGTATCATCTTGCGATTACCAAAACAGTTGTGTAATCGCAGATGTCGACGTGCAGTGGGGCTACTAAGAGACAACCATTACCCCATCAGCAGGTTAGGAAGCATGTGAAGAGACAACAAGATGTGAAAGAAAACCTACAAAAACCAGATAATCCGTCATGGAAGAAGAAAGAGAGGTGTGACCCAGTTTCACAAATGTATGAAGCATGTTTCACTTTTCGTCTTGGTCCATGACGATCCAAATACGTTAACTGCTACTAGATGTTACCTTGAACAGATCGAGTCCGGAACTAAAACTATTGTCGGAGAGTGGTAACCGAGCTTTTGCGAGGTAATATGCTCAATAAGATGACAATTGGTGCTGACGGTCGACGCGAGATTGCACAAGATGTCACTCAACTTCAAGGTGTATTTGCAGGCTGTTTGACAGGCAAAGGAAGAGCTTAGATGATGCGTTGAGTCATGTCGACCGCCTCCAGAAGTAAGTGAGAGCAAGCTATGATTTATAAAACTCAACACTCGTAGGTCTTTCAGTTTTCAAGTATCTTGGACAAAACACTAGAACAGCTGCGTAATTTCGTTGTGATGGTGTGATTTTATTTAAGTCATTACATGTGATTTTGGAATTGAGCAGGGAGGCAACGAAGAAGGACCGGGAATTGGTAGAGTGGCAGCTGAAGGAGAAAGAGACGAAAGCAGAGCTGATGAGATTGGAAGATAAGTTGAAGAGATCTCGAATATCATCAAAATTGGAGCCCAGGAAACTTCTCCTTGAGATCCCCGCCCTTCGAGAGACATTGCGTTCCTTGAAAGCGGCAAGTTCCCACAGGACAGCGGGGTTCTGTGCTTGGTTTTCACCATGTTTCCTCCACCTACATTCAATCTGCACTTATTGAATCCATGAAACCCACCAGTAAACAATCCACTGCAGATATCCGTGAAGTATCTTCCTTTCTAAAGCTTGAGAAAAGACAGCGATTAGGTTCCATGTTGCAGTCTAACATGCTCAAGTTCATGAACGGACGGCCTCAAGACAGTTTTGTTGTTGCATATCATCCTAAGTGTTAGCATCGTCAATGTGAAACTTCAGGAGGAATTAAGGAAGATTTCCTCTCCACCACTGGCAGAGACGCCACAAGAGATCTCGGGTGTCAAATCCACACGTGAAATGAGTGTACGCTTCTCCTTTTGCACGGACCTTGTATACTGCTCTTAAAGAAAGATGCTTCCTCATCATTAATTTCATATCCATGGCCGGTAATTAAAACAGCACGTGAAATGACTAGCTCTGTTGCTTTGCTGGATGGCAGGGTAGAGATTTTTCTCTCAACATCAGGCCGCAATGTGTGGAGCAGTGCACATCTGAGATGGACGAACTGAAGGCTACTATGTTCAAGCTCGCATCTAACATGGCAGAGCTATCGCTGGCTTTCAAAGACCATGTGCAATTCGTGAACCAACGACTTGTGGCAATTCACAGCTTTATATCGAAGAAGAATCCGCGTGCCAACTCTCGCACATCATCGATGACGGTGTCTCCAAGGGTTCTACAACAGAATGGGATATGTCAACTGAATCAAGCAGGATTAGAGGATTTACGAGCAGAAAGAGAGGTGACGAGAAGCCCCAGGACCCCATTACCGTCCTGGCAAAGATACTAGGAAAAGACGTGAAAGCCTGTAAAAGAACTGCTGCAATTGAGTGATCTAATCAGAGAGTTGTGTGAGGACCATAATTTAGCGCTTCTACGCTATGGTCTTGACGTTATACCTGCTTTGCCGGACGAAATAGCACGTCCAGGAGCTCTCAAAACTACTACAAATTCCGGACTATCTTGTTGCAGCTTGTCACATGTACTTGCGGCTTATTGTATTGACTTCATCAACCGAATGCCATGTGAGGAATGTCATGGGCAAGCAGCAACATTCCTAACGCAATGGACTTAGTGAACCGCTTTCCTGCTTACTGCAGAATCCTTGTACCTCTTCGACAAAAGCTGCTCACACCATGTCCAAGGGTCATGTTGCAGCGCGTTGTCTGCGTGACCACGTCTGCAGCCCACACAGGAGGTATGTGATTGCTGTACTAATCGTAAAACCGCCAGAAGCCACTTCGTTCAAAGCAGACAATGACTAGTATTAATAATCCAGTAGTTTCCATCAAGCATCACTCAAGCTAGGACAACCAGCTAGCAAAGGCACACTGGGGATACTATTCCGTGGATGCACTGTCGCAATGCAGTGAATAGGCGACGGCGACGCCATCGCCGTTATTGACACCTACTTTTGATATTCGGAACAGGAATTCAAAGTCCCGACCCGATTTGATGAGCATCAGTCACCGTCGAAGGCTCAGCAACAAGTGCATGAAAACAACTGCTACGGCAGGATTGTGGATCGAAAAACAGCTCGGACAGTTCCGAGTAGGCATCTATCATTGCGCACTGCAGTGATGGCGAGATTCGGACACAGTATTGAAGTCATTTTTCACCACGGAATAGTATCGATTCTAGTCCTGGCACCGAGGCGACAATGGTTGTAGCGAATCAACCCATTTTCTCGACAAAATGAGCACGAAGCAAGAGCTCCTTTCGTCTCCGAACATACGTCCAAAACCACTGCAGACAGCTTCCGTGAGTATTCTCAAGGAATGAATAACGCTCGTCGGAGTACAACAGGATGAAGAAAAGAAAAAGAAACGTGATAAAGAAAAGGACAAGTATAGATACAGTTCTTTCTGGCCCGAAGCGTATGAAGCTGTGAAAGATAAAGACACAATAAGACAGGCGGCTGACTAAGCAACGTGCGTCGCACGTGGCAATCGACCATCCCAGCCGCCAATCGCAGAGCGTGGCTACGCATGGGAATGGGGAGCCGAAGACCATGAGTTGGTTGTTCTTCATTACAATATTGACACGAATTCGTCGTACTTGCAATTTTCATTTTCAACATGCATCCGTGTTTTGGAGAGTATCCCCAAGGAAGGTACCATTTGCATTAAAATGATGTTATCCTAAATATCTCAAGGACTTTAATAGGGGGTTCAAACATGGCACTTTTGCAAAACCAAATAACTGGGATTTAGCACCTGATATTCCCAAGATCACTTAAAATATCAAATCCAAAATATCACCCTTCAAACTTTATTACCCTTGATATTATTCCTTGATTCAAACTTTATTACTTCCTTGGTATGGAATTGAAGAGGGAGGAGGGCTGAGGCAAGCAATGCAGTTTTTGATATTTGACCGACCCCTCTTTTGATATTTTGATTTTAAAATCACCCACCTTGTGAGGTAGGTGATTTGGTGAAGTATCAAGTGATATTTTGAAATATCGTGGGATACTTTGAGCTTGCATCATGGGTGAAATATCACCCAAAAGTGTCATGTTGAAATCCCCTAATGTTTATGGAATTAAAAATTGAAAACAAACCTAGTCAAGTTGAATGTTAATATTTATGGAGATTTGGAATAACTAGGCTATTATTCATTAAAGATGGTCTTTAAATTTCCAATACTTTTTGATTTGATATTATAAAAGTGTAATAATTTTTGTAAGAATTTCTGATTCTTTAAATAATGTTTTGAAAAACTCAAATATGCACATAACATCTAGCTTGTAATGAGATGATTTGTAATGAGGAATGTTTAATGGTATTTTGTAGAATTGATTTGTAAGAGTTTGGGTCATGTTTAGAACTTTATTCTCTCCAAAATCTCAAAAAGATTAAGAGATTTGAAAAAGATGGCTTTTAAACTATTTATATGAATTGCACACCCCCCCCTTTTGTCCTTCGATGATTGGAAAACTAATTAAATAATGAGTTGAATTGTTTAATGAGCTAACAAGAAATTTATCAGCATTATTTACCTTCTGTTCTTGAGTTTTTACTCTTATAAATCGATTCGTACTAAGAAAACTATAATTATTTTTCATTACTACTTGATGATATTGTAATTTAACAATCAAAAGACCATTTAAGTTTTTCCTTCTTTCTTTAGGAATCAAAACTAGTAAAAAAGTGATGATTTGTATTTTCTTTCTTGACAAGATATGTGGAGTAAAAGTTCTGGGCTGTTATTTAATAACATTATACTGTTGAATTAAAACTGTTAACAATAAATCATGTGGAGAAAGAGTTTGGATATTAAACTATCCAAAACATTACATTATTATTTTTTAAATAGAAAGAACAATTAACATGAATTTGCCTTTGGAACCGATTGCTAAAACTAGAGATGTCTAGGTACTGTGTCATTAGTCAATTCCTACAAATATATTGCCAAGATCAACATTAACATTTACTGTAGAATTTCAATTTTACATGTAACAGTTTTCAACTTTCAAAACATATATTTAATCATGGTTGATTTGGTTTGCAGCTTATTGATTTTATTTTTGTGGTCTTTACATAAAGGGAATATACATCTAGCAGAAACAGATATGTTTATTGAGAGGTTAGTTACAAAATTTGAAATGAAAAGTTCCATAACTTATTTATTTTAGTGAGTTATGGTTCCAAGTTCAATGTTGATTACAATAATATGCTATGCACACACACTCGAATTCCATCAAAATAATATGTGTCAGGTTAGAAAACGTATTGTGAGGGTAACTTAAAGACATACAGAATAGTGTAGCCATTCTATACTTTTTAAAGCATATTATTTACCAACAACTACTGTTGCAGATTAAAAAAACTCTTTAAAAATACTAGTTTTAAACATTTGACCTATTGAGATGCTAAATTGTTCATTAAAGGCCATCAACATGTTTAGTTTCCTTCATTTAATGAAAACTTTACTTGAAGATGCAATAAAAGTTCTCTGATAAGCAAGTAGCAATAACAGCCAGTTTAAAAGAATAAAAATTTAAAATAAAAGTTAGTCTCTACATTGAGAATGACAGAATGTTAACTTATTATTATTAATATAAAGGATGCTGAGGTTGAACCTAGCAAGCAACATGCAAGGAATGAATTAATCAAGCAACAATCTCTACTTTGTGTGTGTGTGTGTGTGAGTTTGTACATATGTGTATTTATATATTTGTGTATATTCACTTTTACATACTTCAATTGGGCATCAAAGACTTGAAAAAGAACACTATATTTATGTAGAGTACAGGAACACAAAACATAAATGACATTTGTTGTGCGTAATTTTCCATCAATTGCTTTTACTGTTGTGGTGATCTCACACACACACACATACATACATATATATATATATATATATATTGCAATGGCATCAATTTACATGGGTCAATTCACTTTTGGCCTTAGATATAGACATGGCTTACATCCTCTTCAAAATAGTTAAAATAAAAATCATGCATTGTTCACAACAATATTTTACTACATAAACTCATGACTAGTTTGGTTTGTACTTTTTTATGCTTGAGAGGTAAATGTGTACTAAAATGAGTGTTTTAAAGTATGCAGAATCTTCTTTCTTTTCTTTATTTTATGTTAAATCTCAATATAAAATATTCTGTCAAATGAGAGAACTTAGTTGCAGGAAACAGAATTCACTTTTAACACTAATTTCAATGGGGTTGATTTTTGAAAACAAAGTCTAAAAACTATCGTTATTGTATTCCCAAACTAGGTTTCTTCTACACACAAATGCAAACCACATATTGAAAAACAATTCATTGCAAAGTCTATTTAATTATTTATGTACATGAATAAGAATATCTAGTTTGTATGTTAAGTTCTTTTTGGTGTCTATCCTTGAGATTCCCTTATTGACTAAATTCCATCTGATAGAAGAGACTATTGGTTTCAGTGAATTTCTTAATTGACTGAAGTTCAACTGAAATGTGATTGGATGAATTTTCCGAAATATCCTTAGTCATGATTTTAAAAATAAATTTACCAATCAACACATGAGATTTTTTTTAGAATGTTTGGTAAAAATTTTAGCAAACTCTTTTGAAATACTTGGCAAAAGTTATGAACAAGAATACTAAAAGAAAAATCAGTCAAATCACATATCATATTTTTTTACAATATTTACCATGACATTGTGATGTTATAGTCTATGTATGATATAGGTTACTACTGTCTAATAAGTGTTTTTAGAACTTAGCAATCAACTTGCTATATGGGTCTCCTTTCTAGTGCATATATATGTAGAAAATATGTGGATTGTGGATATTCCTCTAATAAATTATCAAATTCATTGCTTCAACTAGTATGCATTATAATCAATTACACATTTTCAACTATCTACATGTCAAGATGCGCTTTTCATTATAAAAAAAAAAAAAAAAAAAAAAAAAAAAACACAACAAGGTTGAAGAGATGAATGATTTAATAAAATGAGCATGCGTAATTTCTTACAAGATCATATAGAATAGAATGAAAACTTTGAATGTGAAAATATGGGTGAGGTTTACACATGGCTTGTATCCGATATCCTCGAACGAACGGATTTCGTCTACGAGGGATGCACGATGAACGGATATGATATTGTTACATCCACTCATTCATCCACCAGGTATACTTCTATCCATCCAACCGGTTCCGTTCAAAGAAGATGCCGCCGAGGGAGATCTTCGCAGCTGCGCATCGACGGCGAAGGTATCACCAGGCCATGGAGTTTCGCCGCTGTGCCAGTCAGTCAACGAGTGTGTCGCAATGTCAATCGCGGCGGCAGTTTCGTCGCGTGGATCAAACAGCACAAGAGCACAGTGAGAGAGGTAGAAGGGCAAGGAGAGGAGAGGAGAGGAGCAGAATGCTTAGATGGTGAAGGTGCTGGTGCCGCAACTGGAGCGACAGAGCGCGAGAGAGTAGAAGGTTGCGTAGCCATTCAGTAGAGCGAGCGAGCGCTTCCCGATCGGAGGAGATCGGCAGGCCCATCTCGGTCGAGCCCACGTTTAGGCTCCCGAATAGTCGGACCCACGGTGGGACCGAGTAGTCTACGGCATTCCCTTGTGTAGACTTTTTGGCGCTCAAGGGGGTGGGGAGGTGTAGGGGCGGTAGTGGGCTTCAGCGTATAGGCCCTGGCAACTTTGCGTACTAGTTGCTTACTAGACCGACCATCGTAGACTGCGACCTGGCACTCTTAGCTCTGTAATCTGCGCTAGTGAATGGTATTGGTACTGTCTGCTGGGGCTACACTATTGTATATGCAATAGTGCTTGTGCGTGTTCAGGCGCATGCAGTGGTGGTGCTCTGCAGTTGCGTGGGTGATATTTGGGTTCACGCTGATAGGGGAGAGACGTAGAAGGGTTGGGCTTGTCGCAATTTGTCAATTGATTGCGTCGGAAAAGGGTTTCTCCGTTGATCGTAACGGTGGGTGAAAGTGAAACGCTTCCGGGAGTGAAGCTGCGTGGGTTTGGTACTTGTTCTCCCCTGTTCCTAGAGGCAGTCCTTGTTCGCGGCCGAGTCGGGGTTCGGCGGTTTGAGAACGGAGCACATTTTGTGAGTTGATTGATCGCTTGTCCTGGAGAAGTCGTGAGGTGGGAAGATGATGTGGTAGATGCGGTGCTGCTGCTTGTGATCCGACTCAGTGACCTAGCTTCTGGTAAGCGTTAAAAACTTTTCTAATTCAAGCATGTTCATGGTCATGTCCTGATTGGAGGAACTGGGGAAGTCGTTTTAGGAGTGTGCCATCGCCTTTGATAACCCCCAAGTCCGCCCCGCATATTTCAGTACCTCTCGCGTCGTGTTATTTGTACGGCGTCGTTGTGATTTTCTGGGTATAATGTTGATAAATGGGATGAACCTGGGATGAGCAACAGCATGAAGCTGGTGTGTTGTATGCTAGTTGAGATTGTTTGTCTTGCGGTTCTCTTGAATATTCAACTTGGTGTCCCTGGTATGTTTCATAATCTTGAAGCTGTGTTAATAATTTTCTGGAGCTTTTCCTATGTGTGGATTGGGGATGGATGTGCGTGCTTCTTTGATACTTGCGATTGAAAACTCGAGAAATTGGCTACTGAAATCAAATGCCACCAGGTGACACGCTTCATTCGTTGAATTTCTTGGATTCGGTGCGAATCTGTTCTTCAATGTTGAATTGCATGGGTCTGGCGTTGAAATTTGATAACATTGAGGTGAACTCTGCTTTTAACAGGGCCAAACATTTAATTTCACTTAGTCATGGATGGAATTTACAGATATAGGTTTTAGAATAAAAGTTTCAACATTCGATTTCGAATGCGCTTGTCGTGAGCGTTGCAATTACAGAATTGGTCTGCTTTTCTCCCCAACTTCTCATCTTTTTACGATCATTAGTTTATGTCAGCAAGTACATTCAATTTTTGAACCCGATGGAGAGGAACGTTTGAGCTTCAAATCTGATCGCTTTTTCCAGAGTATGTGAGCACGTTTTCAATTTTTTTTTTCACTGTTAGTGACTACACCATTCCACATGATCCTGGTGTAACTTATCACCTTGAACATGAAATAATCCAAATTACTTTGGCATTGAAATTTCGTTTGTTTTATTTTTCCGGCATTTTGAAGATCATTAGTTACGTTCAAGTGTTTCAGATTCGTATAGGCTAGGTTTCGGTTTAACAAACCTTGTCCTAATGATTAATTAGTTTTGGTTTAGGTTGTGATTGTCTCCAGTATCACTTCGATCTGTACAATCACGGGTGAAGTTTCGTCGGTTGTATTGTTGCATTACGCCTGTACGACAATCCTCCATCAATCGGCTATTCAATTGGCACCTTAGGCAATTGAAAATTATTACTCTTAAAAATACCGTTCCTTGGAGACATACTTCCGATGAATCATGGCATTTGTGGCACCTGGTAGTCCGAAAAAAATTCATTTACTACACCTTTATTTATCAATAATGACTGTCCTCCTAACATACTCAGCATACACAGCCATAACATCACGAAATTGTTTGCCAAGTGTACTACTGATTCGGTCCATATTGATGAGACCGAACCAGTTTCGAAAGTTCTTGAACCTCTATTTTCAAATTCTTCTCCTCCTCTAAACACCACGTTCATAAGCACAGAAGAAGTCTTCTACTGAATGCTGCACGTGTTGCCTTTGTTATTATATTTCCTTCTTTCGTGATTGCTTGAGTGTGTTTCCCAGCGTTCCAAACGAGAGTTATGTTGAACATATATCGGGTTGCTGCTCATGGTGTACAGGAAGTTGTGAAGTTGGGAAGGCTGATGTGGGGACATGAGCACTGAATGGGCAACACATGTGTAGGGGCAGCTAGCAAGGCCGGCTTCTTCGAGTTCCCTCAGGAACGAGGCTCGCCCAGTCCCTCGGTCACGCCGAAGGGCACGCAGCCAGAGGAGCCGGCAGCGAAACCCAACAACCCCTCGCCAGAGGAGCGGAGGAAATCCGGGGCGGGCGTTGAGCAGGAGGCGAGAGCAGAGCTTAAGCCCCAGCTGAGCCTGACGATTCAGGCGCCCGCCGTGATCCGGATCGCACCCACAGTGTACCCATCCGCAGCGAACAGGAGGCAGGAGAACTGCGTGGTGCCAGCCATGAGGAGAGCAGGGCTGAACCTGATCCCGGGGCTGAGCTTCACGCACTCGGTGCTGCAGCGGCAGACCGAGAATCTGAAGGACCTGTACAGGCTGGGGCGGAAGCTCGGGCAGGGGCAGTTCGGGACGACGTACCTGTGCGTGGAGAAGGCGACGGGGAGGGAGTATGCGTGCAAGTCGATTGCGAAGCGAAAGCTGATCTCGCAGGAGGATGTGGACGACGTGCGGCGGGAGCTGCACATCATGCACCATTTATCGGGGCACCCGAACATCGTGACGATCAAGGGCGCGTACGAGGATCAGATGGCGGTGCACCTAGTGATGGAGCTGTGCGCGGGGGGGGAACTGTTCGACCGGATCATCCAGCGAGGGCACTACTCGGAGGCTCAAGCGGCGGAGCTGTGCCGCGTGATCGTGGGAGTCGTTGAGACGTGCCATTCGCTGGGCGTGATGCACAGGGACCTGAAGCCGGAGAATTTCTTGCTATCGGACCAGAGCGAAGGCGCGGCGCTGAAAACGACGGACTTCGGTCTATCGGTATTCTTCAAGCCTGGCGAGGTGTTCACGGACGTGGTGGGGAGCCCGTACTACGTGGCGCCGGAGGTGCTGAGGAAGCACTACGGACCGGAGGCGGACGTGTGGAGCGCGGGGGTGATACTGTACATTCTACTGAGCGGAGTGCCACCGTTCTGGGCGGAGACGGAGCAGGGGATATTCGAGCAGGTATTGAAGGGCGAGCTGGATTTTGTGTCGGAGCCGTGGCCGTCTATATCGGACAGCGCGAAGGACTTGATCCGGAGGATGCTGGACCCGAACGCGAAGCGTCGCCTGAAAGCGCATCAGGTGCTGAGCCACCCGTGGATTGGCGAGGAGGGTGTGGCTCCGGACAGGCCAATGGATCCCGCGGTTCAATCGCGGCTGAAGCAGTTTTCGGCGATGAACAAGCTGAAGAAGGTGGCGATCCGGGTGATCGCGGAGCTTTTGTCGGAGGAGGAGATCGCCGGGCTGCGGGAGATGTTCAAGATGATCGACACGGACCACTCGGGCACCATCACGTTCGAGGAGCTGAAGAGCGGGCTGGAGAGAGTGGGGTCGAACCTGGTAGAGTCGGAGATCCGGCAGCTGATGGACGCTGCGGACGTGGACCAGAACGGGACGATCGACTACGGGGAGTTTCTGGCGGCCACTCTGCACCTGAACAAGATCGAGCGGGAGGAGAACTTGTTTGCGGCGTTTTCGTGGCTGGACAAGGACAACAGCGGGTATCTGACGGTGGACGAGCTGCAGCAGGCTTGCAGCAAGTACAACATGGGGGAGACGTCGATCGAGGATCTGATCCGGGAGGTGGATCAGGACAACGACGGGCGGATCGACTACAACGAGTTCGTGATGATGATGCGGAAAGGGAACGGTGCAGTGGGTCGGACGACGCTGCGGAACAGCCTGAGCCTTTCGGACGCACTGATGAACCCACAGTGAGGAGCGGAGGGTGTGGGACGCGAGATGCCGAGTCAAGTGGACCAGTACTGCATGGTGGGCGATGTATTCCCCTAAGCTTCCAGGAGGCACGCAGCAGGAGCAACAGCAGAGGAAGCGGGAGCCTTGTGCTGGTTGGCCATGCGTGTGTGGAAGAGAGGACGTTGCGATGGATGGTTGTGAAGAGGCTGAGACGATGGCAAGGTGTGTGGGCTGTCGGGCAACGACGGGAAGGCCGCAGACTGGTAATGTACATGAGATAGTGATGCGAGTAGTGAGTAGCGACAGAGCAGCGATTTTGCTGAGAGTAGAGGTGGATCTATGGGTGGATAGGGACGGTCAAGCGGCGAGTGGCTGTTTCTGTTTTGCCTGCTGGGCCGCCGATCGGTCCTGTTTCTGTAAACGCGTGCCGGTGACTGGCGATTTTCGATATGATTGCTTTGAACATTATCGAACCTTTATTTTCCGGTTTTACTACCACAGACTGGCGCTTAGGAATGCATGTGAATGGAGTCTTCTGTTTGTAGGCTTTGTTTTTCTCACCTCGACTTGTAGTTCTTGCTTTCGGATTGCCATTTCAATTGTATTCCTGAGTCGGTCATCGAAGCAGTACCGTTGTGCAGGAATTCGTTCGATTTGAATGGGCATGTTGTTAACTGCATTTTCCATGCCCTAATCGTTTTGTACATCCCAGTTGGTTTTTTTACGTTCCCACAAGTCCTACGGCTGGAGGTATTCTGGCTAAAGTGTCTTCCACTGTACTGGGTTCGGTAAGACATCCTTGCAAGGGAATTGCAGGGATGTCCTCCTTGGTTGGATGCTCGCCATGGTGTAGCCACCTGGGACGCTGTGCAGTGGTGAGAGCAGATTACAGCTCCGATGCTGCCCAAGTTAGATGGAAAGAATAAATTTGTGACTTGCTTCAATCTTGGGTCTCACTCTTTCATGGCTTCTTCGCTTAGGAAAAGAGGACCTAGATTGGGCTTATCAGGGTTGTTTGATGGATGAACCGTGGAGACTTTGTGTATGTCCATAAGTCCTGTGGGTTGCCCCTTACCGGCTACCCCATGGTATGGTATGGTTTGGGTTTTGGGCTGGGCAAAATCCAGATCACTCTAAATTATGTGAGATTCCATCAAACCAACATGCTTTGGAAAGGTTGGTGCAATGGTTGTAGACTCCAACTATATTGGGTGGATCACGTTTAATGTTGGCTGCAGATGTTCTTATCTTGCTTTGTTTTTGACCTCTTCTCTTGGTACTTAGTCACTTAGGTACTTGAATTTTGCAGGCAGGTGTAGGTAGGTAAGAGTAGGCATTTAAAATTTTGTTAAATTGCATAGGAAATTAAAACCAAATAATTTGTAAAATATTATAAATATTTATAAATATTTTATTTACAAAATTGTTTTGAAGTGACTTTGGTTTTTGTGAAATAAAATATGTTTGTATTTTAAAGTATTTTGTGAGATTTATAGCAAATCTATAAGTAATTTTTTTAAGGTTTATGATCATAATTTTGATTAATGTATGTTGTAATTTAAAGCTTGATTGGATGATTTAATTATAGGTTATTGAAATTTAAATGAATTGAAGTCTTGGAAATTAAACTTTAAAAGGTTAATAATGTTTTTTAAGATTTATAATTTTATGTATGTTGGATTGAGGTAAAATTTGGCTAATATTGGTTGTTTTTGCTATAGTTTGTTTTCTTTGCTCTCTTCGTTTTATGCTTTTTGTTTTATTTTTATAGATAATTAGAGTAAGATGATATATGTGAGTAATGTTGAGAAAGAATTGAATAACCAATTAGAAGGAAATAGCATATATATATATTTTTTTTGAAAATATGGTAAGTTAGAAATATAAGAAATAAATGGATTATAGTTTTAGGAGAATATCAATTAAAGATACAAATGGTGGATTTAATGATTATGAATTCTATTTAAGATCACATTTCAATTTTTCTATCTTTTAGTTTTAAATAAAAATAAATTATAGTTAAAATATATTAATTTAAAAATTTATGTTTTGATAGATGTTAATATATTGATATTGATGGTTAAGATATATTATTTTTATCTCAAATATAACTTAGATTATATGAGTTAGATAGTAGTGAATAGAAGTAGATTTTATAATATCTTATGGAAGAACTTCTTAGAATTTTTTAAAGATAGATTTGACTTTATACGTATTTGTAGGTTATTAATACATTGCAAACTTGGCCAATAAGTTAGCCACGTATTGCACATATTGGTGATTTGTAATATAAGTTAGCCATATGGTGTATGTATAGGAAACTTGTCTTACAAATTAGACATGTGTTTTATAAGTCAAACACATTTTAAAAATCCTATAGAATGTTGCCACGTAGCTCCTAATTAGATAGTATATGGAGGCAAGAATGAAGCCTTCTTCACTCTTGCCAATGCCTTTTTTTCTTTTAGACTTATTTTAAGAGTCTCTAATTTTCTTATCTTTGGTAATAGCCATTCTAATTTAATATTATATCATCTTTAAGTGATTATCTATATATTTTGAATAACATATAAGTGTATTAATCCTTTGCTTCTTTATAATTTATATCCTTGAAAGTTTGACTAAAGTGCTAATTTATTATTCTTATTTTTTTTAGAAGTATATAAACTACATTACTTCTTTTGTTTTTTATTTTGAAGGTTGTAAATCACTTATCTTTAAACTAATATTTTTTTAATTTTATAATATTATTTTTTTAAAAAAATATAGATTACTCTTCTTTATCTAAATTTTTATTTTATATTAGAAGTTGGAAATTACCTTTCTCAAATTTGACTTGCAAATTTTTTAAAGATGTTTAATATAGAAATAAAAAGAAAAATTATAATTTCTATATTTGATAGAAGTGAGAATACATTTATAACTATTATGAATCTTTATGAACTTCGTTATACTTTTAGAGTAGAAATCTCATATATTACAAATATCCACTATAATAGTACTATTTTTATGCCTGTTAATGAAGCACACTACTCAATATTGCATTAATTGGCATAAAAACAACAAAATTACAAAATAAAGATCATGGTTGCCAAAGAGGACAATGAGTTGGAAAACAAGTTTTTTTAGCTACAATAGGGACCATGTGGCTAAAATCTTAAGTAACATTTAGTAAAGGTTCTATTCTTTCCTTAAATCTATTATCTTATTTTACAATAGATGTTTTTTTGGACTGAAAAATTACAAAGTCTTTGCCTTATTAGATTCAAGAGCCTTAGCTTGTTTTATAGACAAAGATTTTATTATAAAATATAAAATATTCTTAGTCAAGAAAACTAAATCCATATATGTAGAAGTTATAAACAATCATTTTTTTTTCTTTTAGAGATATTATTAATGAAATTATTTTTAAAGTACAACAAAAAATAGACATAATAGCTTAATAATATTTAATTTTTTAAGATATTCTTCCAACTTGATTATTTAGGTTAAATGTACCTTAAAAAGTATAATCTATAAATAGATTAAATTTCTTATAATCTAAATTTTTTTATATTATAATTTAGACTTCTATTATCTATATAAAAAGTAATAAATTCAATATAACCAAATCCTTGTTAATAGATGCAAGATCTTTCATACATGCTACAAAAAGGTCATTTTTTTTATTATTTATATTATAATTATTTCTATTAATAAAAAACTTCAAGTAGCATTCTAAGCCAATGTATAAATTATTAAGATATTTTTGAAAAGAAAAATATAAATATTCTTCTAAGCCATAATCATTATAATTGCTTAATTAATATTTAAGAAAGAGCTGAATTGCCATTTAGATCAATCTATAATTTATTACAAAATAAGTTGATTGCATTTAAAGAATTCTTTGCTAAAAACTTAACTAAGAACTTCACATACCATTCAAAAACTTTAATAAGAGCTTCTATCTTATTTGTAGAGAAAAAATATAGATTACAAAAAATATGTGTGGATTATTAAAGATTCAACAAGATCACTATTAAAAATAGATATTTTCCACCTTTATTATGAAGAATTTTAATTAATTGAATCAAACAAAGATTTATTCAAAAATAGATCACTGAATATACAACTTGATATGCATTAGATAAAGAGATGAATAGAAAATTATATTTTAAACCAAATATGGCCATTTTGAATGCAATGTTATTCTTTTTGGACTCACGAATACACTAATTACTTTTCAACATCTTATAAATGATTTTTTTTGAGAATTTTTAGATAAGTTTGTTATTTATTATATAGATATTAACTTAATCTATTATAAGAATACAAAAAAATATGAATTTGATATTGGTTGTGTATTATAAAAACTTAGAGATGTAGGACTTTGTGCCAAGATAAAAAAAAAGCATATTTCATATTATTCAAGTTGATTTCTTAAGATATATCATTTTAAATGATAGACTTATAATAGACCTTTATTAAAGTTCTAATTATTATAAATTAAAAAATTTCAAAAATAATTAAAGATATTTAATATTTTTAAAATTTTCTGATTACTATATTAATATTTATTACGAATTTTTTTCAAGTTGCAATTTTATTTACATGTTTGATTTGTAAAGACAAACATGATTGGAATAAAGAAAAAAAAAACATCATTTAAAGCTTTGTAGATAACTTTTGTTTTTGCACCAACTTTTCTAAGGCATTTATTATGAAAACAAATACATTAGACCTTGTTTTGGATGTTTTATTAATACAAATAGGAACAAATGATAAAATTCACTCAATAGCTTTTCATTTAAGAAATATTTTAGCAATGGAAATCAATTACAAGATACATGATAAAGAATTTTTTGCAATTATGGATTCTTTTTAAAAAAACCGTTTTAAGTCTAATAATTGTTTATACAAATAATAAGAACTTTAAATATTTCATATCAAGAAGTATTCTAAATTATTGTGAAGATTATTGGAGAATGTTTTTGTTAAGATTTGAATTCAAGATCACTTATTGACAAAAAAAAGTAATAAAGCCTTTTTTAGACATTCTTATATTACACTACAAGAAAGAGATGCAACTTTTGGTAAAAAAAAAATGATTCTTTTGAAGCCAAAGAAATTTTATCTTTATATAATGAAAGCAATATTGATTTTTGATTCAACCTTCTTTAAGCAAGTTCAATCAAGTATGTCATTAAATCTTCTTGTTTATGGTATTGAAAATAATCTATCTTAATCTTATAATATTTCTTAATTTAAATTCAAGAATAATCTATTCTATTTTTAAAAATACTTAAAATTTCAAGAAGATAAATATAACTACATGATCTTGAAGCTTATGACAATTTTCTAGCTATATGACATTTTGTAAAAAAAGAAAACTTTGGATTAATATCCTAAGTTTTTGGATGGGTTTAAATATGAAAAGAAAATAACATCTTTATGAAATTGTGTGATATTTGTTAAAGATTGAAAATTCCTTCTCGTTAAGCTTATAGACTTCTTTAGCC